TCTTTCCCCTTGACATGTGCTACCACATTTTTTACTGTAGGAGAGGAAAAACTGTTTTGCTTTCCTTCCTATATTCTCTGGCTAAAGCTCTGCAAATTAGACAAAAGGCAGTTTAACAAGAGAAAAACAAACAGTTGATTAATGCATGCTGAGTGAATCCAGGCAGGGAAACTCAGTGATTCTTTGAGGGAGACATTCAAAGAAGTGTTTAGAACTTAGGCTTATATATACCATCTTAACCAAAGGTCAATAAGTCTGTACAGAAGTGACAAGACCCAGGAGAAGGATTTTGAGTTTCTTGGTGCGGCAAATTGTGAGAAGGTAAATGCATGTGGGAGCTAATGGAAGATGAGTGCTAGTAGCAAAGTTTGTCATGTAGATTCCTCTGCTGCATCTCAGGGCTGATCAGATTCTAGAGTTATCTTCAGTGATTAACTTCTGTCTTTCCTGGTAGAGAGGGAAGGAGAAACACCTTTATAAATGTATGTCCTGCTTTTAGGCAAATAAGGGGAGAGCAGATAGCTTTTCTTGTATCTGCTTCTTCTCAATTGCTTTCCACTCAAAATAATCTTTATGCCAAAGTGGCTTACTTGGGGTGGCATCTTTTGATACTCTTTACCGGTAACATGTATCTCCCCTTTTTGTTTGCTGTTATATGTGTTTGTTTGTTGTCCCTCCCCCTACTGGAATCCAATCCCATAAGTGCAGAAATCACCCAAATGTCCTTTGAAAAAAATTGAGTCTGTAATGTGTGTGTGTGTGTGTGTGTGTGTGTGTGTGTGTGTGTGTAGATTGGGTGGGCAGCAATGAGATGGATAAGTAGAAAGAAAGATGAAGCTACATGACTTCAAAAAATCTGGTACAAAAATTCTGCATTCCAATGGAAAAGTTATGAACAGTGAACGGTACTGACTCTAATGATGAAAATTTTAGACTAAATAGAGGAAGATGATGGAATCATGAAAAAGTGGGGTTTGCCATTTCGGGTTACTTTCAGATAATCACGAAGGTGTCAAAGATTACATTTTCATATTAACTGAGCTCTGTGTCATGGTTTGGCTTACCGAAATGGGGTCACACTGAGTAGAATGTTAAGAAGCAATCTCTATTATTAAAATTGGCAAAATTGCTACCTGAGACTCACACTGGGCTTAAATGGAATTACACAAAGCTAAATAATTACTGCTAAATGAACAAATTGAAACAGTTCTGCTCACCAAAATGCAGAGTGCTAAACAGTAAGGAGGGACAAAGAGAATCATTACTTTAAAAAATAGACTTTGGAGTTAAAGTTACTAATTTCATTCATCTAAATGTTACAATTATTAATAGTCATGTCACATTTCTATTTCAAATAGAAACAGATACTGTCAGCCTGGTGGAAATGAGAATTCACACACATATGCTATCATATGAACATTAGAAACAAATTTGTGCCAATGAGGAAGGGAGAGCATTTTTCTGAAAACCAGCTTGATTTGCAAACCTCTTTAGGGATTCTAAAGGCTGGCTCACAAGAGAATCCTTAGGACTTTCCTGAGTCCACAAGCTCTGAGAAACTTTTTTGGAATTTCTTACATTTGCACATTTTTTAAGGACAAAAGACTGAGTCTCTGACTGTGCCCTGATATGCTTGCATGCCTTTCTGTGAGAGGACTTGTTTGATAGAACATGTTTATTATTTGCAGTGTCTTTTCCACAATCTCATTTTTAATGCTCATTTGTTGTTTTCGCCACTCTCTCCCAGAAGTGGCACAGAATTAGCAAGCTTGTTGCCCAAGCTCCATGGCAGCCTGACTAGATTAGACCTTTGATGGCCTCTAACCTGTATTGTAGGTTAGGCATTTGTAAAACTGTCATCCAAGACTGATTTTTGTCTCTAATCTTCCATGTAGGTGGATGGAAAAATAAATCTGATGCATATTATGGGTATTTAAGGAATGGCTTATGGGAGACTTTCTACCACAAAATGTTTTTCTAGCCTGCTGGGACCATTAGAGATTTAGCTGCTTTATTCAACTAAATATATCACTTACTATAACAAGCACAGTGCAGAGATATGTCAAACTTTTTTTAAAAAAATTAAACAGATAAAAAATAGATATTGGGGACTTATGTAGTTGTTTAAAGAGACAACTTGACCTTCATTAAGGAATTTTTTAGAAAGTACTTTGGATGATAATTTTGTTAGAACCACAGTAAAAACATTATTATAAAATAAATGACAACGCACAAATGTCAAAAATTTTATTTCTTTTAAATAAACTTTTTCTGAGTCATGGTGATTCATAGTCTACAGTTTTCATGCATCTGAACTTTTAGAATAGTATTTCTTTCTCCACTCTCTACAATGAATTGAATGGCAAATATGAAGCTTATCTTAATAGTCTCTTGCCTTATTTGACAAGGTCATATTTCTCTTAAAAGCATTGTATTGTGATGGTGATTATTTTTCTCGATAATAGAAAATAATTTCAAAAACTATTCAGCTGAGAAAGCTTATGGAATGTTTCTGAGGACCTATTATCTTTTTTATCATTCAGCGTGTATCTCCAAATCTTCATTTGTGTATATATATTTTTTCTATTCTTTAACTGTTTTGTCCTTTCCCATGTGGGAGTTGAGAGGTTCACCCAGCTCTTCTCTGAGCTTTTGACTTTGGAGCTACTTTTGTCAGATCTTCCATCATTTCTCCCTGAACTGAATCAAAAAATTTAGTTTCGTTTGTTCTCGAGTGACTACCCCATGTCCTCCCATGTTAAGACCCCGCTTCCAGCTCCTGGACTGTAGCAGCCTCTATCTGGTCTAATTTTTGCATGTTTACCCCTTTTTGTTTTTGTGCTTTCCTATCCCATGCAGTCCTGAGGATCAGACCCATTGTAGCTGGTCCTCCTGTCAGGCCCTCTCAATACCTAGGATACTTCCTTGACTCTCTCAAGACAGTGCCTGGCACACGGTAGCTGTTCAATAAAGTCTGCTCCATGGAACTGCCTTGCATAGAACTGCATTTTCAGCTCACTTGTACACCCCTGGAGTTCCTCTTCTTCAAAACCCTCTTGATTTGATGATATTACTAATTACAGAAGCTGATGTTAAACAAAAACCATGGGGAATAGAATTTTTTCTGAAATAAAGAATGTAATGGGCCATATTCTAGCCAGAAAAAGGACTGGGTCCTGGGACATACAGTCTGAACAACCAGGAGAAGAAAATCATATATGCCATCCTGGAATTGATGGAGCATTTCTGTACAATGAGTGTGGAGAGAAAGATGTAAGTTGTTTTGAAAGAATAGCTATAGACAAAAAGGAGGGAAAAAGGTGAAGCAGGAAAAGTTCTTGGATAGGTGCAGAGTCCATAAAAAAGTATTTGCTGTTTCTGGATTGGTTGTGGTCAGCAGCCTGGAAAGTTCATGAGTAAGCAGAATGTGGTGGAGTCTGTGGTTGCCTACCTTTCTAGGTAAGAGCTGAAATAGCCACGAAAGTTGATTCAGAGTTTCTCCACACATTAAGGAAGGTGAGCAATCTTTAGTTGGATTTGGCTCAAGGCTGTTAACTGATTAATCTCTTACCTCTTTCTCCCACCCTCCTGCCTGCTGTAATTTAATTTAGGACATCTCCGAATTTTCTTGTTACAGTGAATAACACTCAGAGGACCACATTTCTTTCCATTACATTCTTCTGACACACTTCAGAAGGATCTTGATCAATAGCAGTACTTGCCTTGTGCCGTGTCTGTCGCCATGGGAAGAACATCCGGAAGAGTATATATCAGGGTATCGATTCTCTAAAACAGAATATTAACCAAATATAAAAACAAAACAAGAATAAAAACAATGTGTGGCATTGATACATAGCACACCATTAGGATGCAACCACCATGGAGAGAACTAGGATACTGTCAGTGAGAGGTTCAACATGACCTGTTTGTGTTTTTCCTAGTTTTGTATTTAGAGGAGAAATTGGATGACTCTTGAGATGGCAGGTCTATTTTCTATGCTGGAATATACAGGCAATTATGTTCCCGGGAGATGTGAACCTGTAGAGTCTCTGGGTTATGTAATCCTGATTGACATGATAAAATGGATCTCTCTTGTTGTCCTCTTAAGGGAAGCCATCAGCCGTGTTTGCGAAGCTGTCCCTGGAGCCAAGGGAGCCTTCAGGAAGAGAAAGGTACTGTCTTCTTGGCTCTGCGTCTGACCATGTCTTCTCTACTTCTGAACTTTTCTGTCACTACTCAGCATCTTTAATCACGTAGAATCATTCAATTCTCTCTTCCCATGGCCTAGCTCTTGTCACTTTTTTTTTTTTTTTGCCAGAGGGAAACCAAAAGCCATCTCTTAGTTTGAAGAGGGTAACTGGCACTGGCTCTTGTCACTTTTAGAAACAGAAAAAAGCTTATATTCTCTCTCTCTGCCATGCGGTTGATAAGGACAGTTAGCTATCACTACCAATTCAAAGTAGACACCCTAGTTACTGACCATGGGCCTAAACCTAAATATGATGATGACAATAGACATGTAAAACAGGGCCAGGCATTTTTTTAAACCTTTGGAATCATTGATTCATTTCATTAGAATAACCCTTTGAGGCAGACATTTCCAGTGGTGTAGCAGTCAAAGTCTAATAACTGTTTTTTGGGGGTGGGGGACTGAATTTGTAGTATTTGCCAGTTTCCCTGGTGTAAATACTTCTGCAATGGCTGATTTCAAGCTTTAACATGACATTCTTAAAATGAACTGTGGAGCTGAGGTCCAGCCCAAACTGCCTGATTCTGGGTGCCAGACCTTTTCATCCTAAGATGTTTGAACCAGAAGAAAAAAAAAATACCTGAATTAAGAAAAAACTGAGAAAATCTCTTTACTTAAGCATCTAGCAAATACATAACTAAATACTTACTATCAGGACTTTTCTACGCCTGGACTGAATGAGGGAGAGTATCTCTGAATCTATCCTGACCCTGAGGTTTTGGGGCATGCTGTATGCTCGCCTCTGCTGGTCCCAGGGCTGTGGGTCGCTTCTATCTTTATAGCTTGAGGACATTCAACTGAGTTTCAGGCAGAGAACTTTGGACGAAGGCTTAGATGTACTGGTTTATGGTCCAGTCAGCCCACAGGGGCTGCCAAGCAAGCCTCCAGCACCTTGAATACAGGAACTAGGAGGGTGTCTAAGAACAGAGACAGTGAACCTTCTCTTTCAGGGCCAGGTGGCGCCTGACCAGCAAGTCTTAGGATACCCTCCTGGTTCTCTCCGTGAAGGAGGGGAAGTAATGCTGATTTCTGGTCTCCAGCCCAGGTATACTTAATCAGGGCCCAGGCAGCTCTATCTTTGAATAGCTCTGGCAGGAGCTTTGCAAACAATGCCAGCTGGTTAAGAACAGTGTTAACTGGCATATCAAGGAGGGCGTGGTCTGTCCCGAGGAGGAAGGTTGGGTGGTTTTCAACGGATAGAGACAAATATTGGCAGTGCCCTTGAAAGGACCCAGGGAGAAGGTGTCTGGCTGGAGAACACAGCTCATAGTTCCTCGTGCCAAGGACATTTCTGACAGGCTGATAGATGCACCAGTTAGAGCCAAACTGAGTCTGTCCATCCTTGGGCTGGCTCCAGACCCGGATTCTAATTAAATCATCCATGTGAGCTCTGACCTGGAGAAAGTGCTGGCCAAAGAATTTGTGTTCTATTCCTTCAGCAGTGAGCATTCTCATGACTCCTTGGGATTGTTCATAAGCCCCTGAGCTGGACCGATTTAGTCTGGCCCTGACTAATATGACTGTTGTTGAAATGAAGCTGGTTTGTGAGTCTACAAAGCTGTAGGCCCTAACCTGTGGCACTTTACTGAGGCTTATGAGTAACCTATGAGACATATCTCAATGTGAGCTGCCTAAAACACTGACACCTCTGTCTTTCCCTTATCTCGGTGTGTGTGTGCATAGTAGATGTTTTACAATTCACGTTTTGCGAATTCTAGAATTTTTTGTTAATATTGGATCCCACCCCTCCAGTTTATTTGTGGCACAATTTTCTTCACATGCCTAATGAAGGTGGGAAGGTGAAGGTTTTGGGATTTGGCAAATAGGAACAACTTAGAGGCCCTGACAGTGTGGCTTCCAGTGAATCAAAAGCTAAAATAATGTTGCTTAATTTCACAGCCTCCGAGCAAAATGCTGTCCAGCATCTTGGGCAAGAGCAACCTCCAGTTTGCGGGGATGAGCATTTCCCTGACCATTTCCACTGCCAGCCTGAACTTGAGGACACCAGACTCGAAACAGGTCTGTGGGCTCTCAGGCCCCCTGCCCTGCCCTGCCCAAGACCCCTCCACAGGGTATTTCACAGGGCTTCCCACTTACAGCTTTACTGGGTCTGTGTGGAGCACATTTGTGTAAAACCTTCATGAATCTGCAAACTTTGGCCACTTCGAAGGGTCACCAACAGGATGATAAATGGAATTGGCTCTCTTTTGTTCTGCAATAAATTACCTTTTTTGGGGATAATGCATGAAGTCATTGGTTTACCTACAATGTAAAAAAGAGGCATATGTATATGCAAAGCCTCCTCTCAATGTCCTTGCTTCTATTTTGTTTTATTTTATACCATATTTCATTCATTCTACAGCCCACATTTTATTTTCACATTTTTATTTCCTTGAAATGAATGGCATGTTATGGTTTAATTGACAGTATTTTTTATTTCTTATTGGGTCATTTTGGAGCCTTTCACAGTTGATAGTGTCATAGAGTTGATGTCATATGGCTATCTGTGGCTATATCCATACCCAGTGTGGAAAGAGTTTGTTGCTGACCAAGGCAGCAGAGCAGTGATGTTTATTGAGGTAATTCCGTTTAGGATGGTTGGATTCTTCTGCAGTGTTTATCTTTTAGGTTTCTCTGATGGTTAGTTCCTTCAGCCAGAAAAATGGTTATGTGATATTATATGACCTGTCTGGTCATTCACTAGAAGATCTTACTTCCAGGACTGTCTTTATCTGACCTGATTCAGAGCTTGTCCAGGAAAAAAATGCCTCTTCCCAAGAGACGTTTGTCCAAAACAGTTAGAGGCAATTGTTTAACATCATGGCTCAAAAGGGTATATAAGCAGCAGCCTTTGGTACCAACAGGTGAAAATGCTTAGAACTGTAAATGCCTTCACCTGCTCTGCTCAGCCTGGGCCTCTGTTGCCGGCAGTATGAGTTAGAAGTCAGATATATCCACATTGTAGGATGGGCAATCCATAGACCTTTGGATGACATACTTCCTGACTCTGGCAGTGTGTCACCAGGGATGCCCAGGGATACCTTAATGTTGCTATACACATTCATATTTATTGATTTCTAAATTCCCCAGATAAGCAAGCAAAATCCCACTTTCATTTATCTCTCTGCCCCACCCTTCCCATTTGAGATGGTAAAATAAATTCTAGATGCAAAATAGAAATAAAAGGGCTTTGTTTTGATATATTGGATGCCACTTCTTATTCCATTCCTTTGTCTTCACTTGAGAGATGGATGATCCCTTGTCTTTTCTCATTGGCCCTTCTAAGGAATGGGTTATCTGGTCATTTAGGTGGTGGATTAAGAAACTTCAACAGGCTCAGCCTCTTTCTGGAGCAGCCTCAAGGCTGAGCACCCATGGCGGCTAATGGAGGTTGGTCTCCTCAGCTCTGCACTCATACTCCCTCATCCATCTTTATTCTATGTGGCTGTTGCACCTTTTGTTTCTAGAAATCCTCAAACCATGGTCCTCAATTCAGTGGGATCTTATCTCTTAATTCCCCTTTTACCTAATTCCCCACTTCAAAATAAAGAGAAGCAGACTCAGAAAGAGCAGAAAGGCCGAGGCCATCATGGTTGGCACTCTTCATCCTGGCATTGGAGCTGGTTGGGTGTGTCCAGTTCTCACTGTCCTGCCCTTAGTTTAGGTGGATAGGAGTGAGTCCTGGGGGATGCTAGCTTGGACATCATGAGCACAGTCTGAGGAAGGTTTGACAGAAGCCAAAGCTCAGATCCCTCTGGCTCTCCTATTTGACTGAGTTTAGTCTCTGGTTGCAGGAAACAGAACGAGCCAAGTGGATACTCTATTTCCAACATAGAGAAATAGCAGGAAGGCAGGCCCTGCTCCCCTGTGTAGAGTTCTCCAGGAATAGAAAAAGATGAAACAACCTCAGAGCAAAAACACAAGCTTTCAGTTAATTAGCTCTAACTTCCTTATTCTCCTTTTCAATTTCTCTTAGCCAAAGGGATAACATATACAGTAATGGTTATACATTGTGTTGACCAAATATAATTTCCATTTTTCACCTAAATCTTAGTGTCCACTTTGATTTCCAAACCTCATCTTTAGAGCTGCTTTGTAAGTAAAAATTAAATAAGCAAAAAATTAAATAAACAAAACTTAATTTTAGAAGTCATAGTTTATCATCATTTGGGGACTATTATGTCCTCATTGCTCTCCCAGGAGCCCTCTATACCTGGACTAGAGGAAGGATTCCAGAGGACCGTGAAGGGAAACTATTAGTTTAATCCATCTGTGTTTAGGCACAGGCTACAGAGCCAGACTCATTGCTTTTATTCATTTACAGTTGACTCGAACAATGCTGAGGGGAGGGGTGCTGACTCCTGCACAGTCAAAAATCTGGGTGTAACTTTTGACTCCCCCAAAACTTAACTACTATATGCTTTAGTTTTTCTTGATCTTGATTTATTTTGTAAGTCCTAACAGCTGAAATAGGCATTTAAAAAATCTTTTTTTTATCTTATAGTTTGGTTATCGTTTTGCTTTGATTTTTACAGGAGCATGGTTGGAAAAATCCTTTGGATGGTAGGATTATGGCTCTGTAAATTTTGACTGCCCACCAGTGAGGGCTTGAGGGCCTGAGCAAAAATAAACCTGGTTATGTTGAGAGGAAGACAAGAGTGCTGTTTCCACCCCCGGAAATTTACTTCAATGTCATTACATTGTTTTTAGAAAGATAAAAGTAGCATGGAAGATTTACGTAGCTTTTTAAATTTAGGGCAGCTTCCAATTTACTCAGTGTCTACTAAATTCTACTGTACCCTGCAGTTTACAATGCTAATGGAAATTTCCCATTTTAAAATGAACTTGGCATGTCCTCATTTTAAATTGATAAATTATAAGAGTGCCTGAGATAGCACTGATTTTGATCTTGGATGCAGGCTTTCTGATTTATGTGCACATGATACAAATGGGATGAAGTGGGGGATGGCCACACTTCCCTCCACTCCAACTATGGTGTCTATAGCAAAGACCCTATATGTCTTTGGAAACAGAAACTATGCAGTCAAAATATTTTGATGTATGGGTGAGACATTTTCCTTCTCAAAGAGGCATGGTTCTTAAGACCATCTGTGTCCGGTCGTAGTCTGCCCTTTACTAGCTGTAGTACTTTGAGCAAGCCACTTGGCCCCGCTAGGTCTCAGACTCCCCATCTGTGAAATGGGATTACAGTAATTCTTATGTCACAGGGCTGCTGTGAAACTTTAATGAGCTAATTCTGTCAAGGCTGCTAGATGAGCAGCTGACATGTTGTGAAAGTTCATTAAAATGCTATCTATTGTTATTACTTATGTAATTGTTATTTTCAGTGGGTACCGATTTGGGGGAAACCTTGTCAATTCATATTACCTGCCAACAAATAGTTGGTTTTCCAAGACATGGGAAGGGTAATAACTACACATCTCATTTCTTGTTTTGGGTCTGGCAGATTATAGCAAATCATCACATGCAGTCCATCTCCTTTGCCTCTGGGGGAGACCCGGTAAGTGCCTTTGGCATCATTTTCTTTTATTCTTGTCTGGAATTGCTGAGAAGGGCCCTGATTCCAAGGTGTGCTTCTTAGGATACTATCAAGAACGTTTACTATGATGCCAACCATTTCTCCCTAAGCTCTTCTTGACTATCATTAATTTTCATTTCATTATACAAGAACTGTCAACAATCCTTGAAGCATTGGCATTCTTAAGAGTTAATGAAACAGCCCCCCAGTGTTTCAAAATTGCCTGGTGTTCTGGTCACCTAACCGCTTGCTCTGCCTTGTTCTTGTTTTTCTATTAGACCTCCAATGGGGTCCTCTGTTTTTGTATTTTAAGACTGAATTTACTAAGTCTGTTTTATTCATAAATATTTGTAATTGGCAATTTTCTCTCCAAATTTAACACTATAGTCTTGTAATGGTTTGCTTTGCCAACAGGAAAGGAATTGCAGAGATAAAAAGAGAAAGAATAGAGAATGGAATGAGAATGTTTTGTTTTTGCATTGCTTCTTTTATGAAGAAGATGCAATAACAAGGGGACTTGCTCCCCACATTTGATCAGGAATGTGATGCTGTGATGTCCGCATTCAGTTTCAGCATCTGGAGAGGCAAGACTCAGAGCCATACCCACACATTCACAGTATTTACTATATACAGTTAGCTCTTTGAGGAAACCCAGGCAAGAAATCAGTCGCGAGAGAAAGAGGTGCAGGGAAAAAAAAAAAACACAACCAAAACTTTCCAGCAGTGAAGGGGAGAAAAGACTCCCACCCCTAAAACGTTATGTTATTTTTCATTGGTCTGGGTAAAGTTCTCACCAGTCCAGGAAAATATCTAAAAATTAGGACAAATTTATTAAAAAAAAAAAAAATGCAGGCCAAGATGGTGGAGTAAATAAACGCTATGCTTGCCTCCTTCCATGACCATACCAAAATTACAACGAAACTACAGAACAACCATCATTGACAATCATCTGAAGTCTAGCTGAACAGAAGTCTGACAACTAAGGATGATATATAGAAGGGGCCTTGATGAGACTGAACAGGCTGGCCCCATAACCACATGTGGCATTAAAAAATGGGAGGGATGTCTAGGCTGTGGAGGTCCTTCATGAGGAGTGAGGGGGTCTCAGCTCCACACCACTTCTGCCTGCGAGAACCAGTGGAGATTGTGCTGGAGTCCCAGGCACTCCTCTTAAAGGGCTCACACATGGGCTTACTCACTCGTTCTGAGCTCCAGCGCTGAGGCAGTAGTTTGAAAGACACCGGGGGCATAAGGGAAGAAAATGAATTGCGAGGCTTCAGAGTGAGGTTAGAGAGGCAGCTTTCTCTCAGAGATGCTGGCAGATGCCATTATTCCTTTGTTGAGCCCTCCATCAACCCAGTGTGCAAGCACAGGTGGGCGCCATATCTGAGTTTTCATCAACCTGGCTAACACTGTTCTTTGTGCTTGGGTGAATCCCTGAGACTCCGCCCCACCCAACTTGTGGGCCCACCCAAGCTGCTTCAAGTGGCTTTTCCATACAAACAGCCTGTCTTGGCTAATGCTGTGGACTCTCCTAAAATCTCTCAAAGGTCCACAAACCCCAAACAAGCAAGCATCTGGCCTTGGAATGCCCCATACCTCTTGCTAAGCAGACCCAAATTTGGCAGTAGAGGAAGCCAGCCTCCAAGCCCAGCACAAGTGACAACCACCTGCAGATCACTTTGTAGCTCATACCAAGTGGTCCTGGGAAGGGCACAGGCAGTGGCTGAACTTGGTCTGCAACAGAGCTCTGCTGAAGAGGCCCCCAAACCAACATGCCTGGTGATCAGCTTCAGACCACACCAAAGCACCACCCAACCACCTCTACAAATGACACACCCAAAGGCCAGACTAAGCAGGCACCAGAGGCTGCTAAAGCAAATCCTGCTCCATGGGGTCAGCCCCTACACAATAGCTCCTCCACTATAGTCACAGCCAGTCCTCACAATGAATCAGCCTGAGGGTCAATCCCTCCCATTGACGTGCAAATAGCAATAGAGGCTAACTACAACACGAGTGCACACACAACCCACACAAGGGGCACCCCTAGAGCACCTAATCAGGGAGACTGGGCCACTGGGCCCCTATAGGGCATTCTACTAAGACCAGGAGACCTAGCAGCTCTATCTAATACATAAAAACACAAGAAGGCAGCCAAACTGAAAACATAAAGAAACATGTCCCAAATGAAAGACCAGAATAAAACTCTACAAAAAGAACCAAACAAAATGAGGACAAACAATCTAGCAGATGCAGAGTTCAAGATACTAATTATAAGGATGCTCAATAAACTTCAGATAAGAGTAGATGAACTCAGAAAGAACTTTAACAGAGATAGAAAACGTAAAAATGGAGATCCAAAACATAAAAAAGAACCAGTTAGAAATGAAGAATACAATAACTGAAATGAAGAAAAATTAGAGGGAATCCACAGTAGATTGGATGAAGGAGAAAACTGAATCAGCGATTTAGAAGATAAGGAAGCAGAAAGCACTCAATCAGAACAGCAACAAGAAGAAAGAATCCAAAAAAAGTGAGGGTAGTTTGAGTCTCAAGGATAACATCAAACATACTAACATTCGCATCACAGGAATACCAGAAGGAGAGGAGAGAGAACAAGGAATTGATCTATTTGAAGAAATAATGATGGAAAACTTTCCTAATCTGGTGAAGGAAATAGACAGGTTTTAAGTAAAAGTTTACCAGTCTAAGGAAGCTTGAATAATTGGTATGTATGTTACTCCTTATCCCAAGTCAGGGACCTTGTCTACTTCTAGCCCAGAAAGGGAATCTTCCCCTTGCCCCATACTTATCTCACAGATCTTTCTTCTTAGGCTCCTTATACCTGTAACCTGATTGTAGAACTGCTATTGGCACATTGAAAGTGATTTCCTCTGTTGGCTCTAGTGTCTACATTTCCAAAGGGCAGTACGATCATGGCACCAAGTGTCTAAGCTACAGGAGAGTGGTACCCCATCCTCCCCTGCTCCAGCTGCTGTAGCCCTCAGGAAAGTGTCACAACAGGAATCATCCCAGCATTGCTTCTGCCACTCCTGCCAGTTGAGCATGGCTGCAGTGAGAGTCCTGGGCATCTCCTCATCTCAGACCCTTGAGCCAGGGTCACTGTCAGAAGGGATTTGTCCACACTGAAGATTGTTCTTTGCTTTCAAACTTCTACTTAATTGTCAAAGGCTGACCAGAGCACCATTTAATCATCTTATTCAGTGTGTTCAGCTGGCTTTGGCCCTATTTTATACTTAGAGTTTTGTCTTCAAGTCTCCTATGATGATTTCCTCTTCTTTTTTTCCTTCCCTTCCCTTTTTTTTCTTCTAATCTTTTATTTTCTTATGTTTCATTGTAAAATGAAAGCCCTTATTGAGAAGTATATTTAGAAAGTGGAAATCTTCCATAATCAAACCCATCATAGGTACATTTCTGAGGATAATATCTAGACATACGTGTATACCTATTCTCTACTTGCACTACACCTACACATATATCTGTACTTATTTCTTTACCTATATCTGTATCTGGCTCTAATTAACTTGCGATGTGATGCTTGGAACCATAATTTCTTAAATTTGAAAGGTGACCCAGTTTGAAAAATAAAAGGCAGAAATGAACACCTGCGTTAACAGCTCCTTTCAGGAAGTTGTCTCAAATCTCATCTTCATGATGATATCATGAATGGAGATGCAGAGATCCAGAAAATGAGAAGCTAAATACATTGTCCTGTGTTAAAATTATTTGGTTCTCCACAGCACATACAGGTCTATGAACTATGTTCAATTTTTCCTATTACCTCTTTATTAAAAAAGTAAGTAGTCAGTGTAATTCATAACCATTTATAATCTTTCTGATACAAAAATGTCACCATACCAGGGGCTTAGAGTAATTCATAACTGTTTATATTCTTTCTGATACAGAAAATATCACCATACCAAGGGCTTGATTACTTTACATTTCCACTTTAACCAATCCAAGTGCATATCAAATTGTGCATGAATTCCCATACCAAATTGGTTTGTAATCATTACAATTGGTAGGTGTTTTAAATAAAACCAACAATTCTAGGTTCTGTTCATCGTTCTGCTGCTAATTGTATGTCTACTTATTACTCTGTGCCTCAGTTTGCTAGGTAAGAAAATGATATTTTGAAACATCAAATAAGACAGACCAAAAAACACTGTTAACCCCTACAGAAAAGGGCACACTATAATTATAATCTACTACTATTATTAATGTTAAAAGACCACCAAAAGAATGCCCGAATAATGGTCAGGCTCAGAAAATCTTCGGGAGTGAGAACAGAAATGGATAAATACAGAATAGGCACTCGGCAACCCTATTTTTAGAACATTATGTGCTCACTGTGTGATGTCAAGCATATTGTTTTGAAAAGCAATACACTCCCCTACTGTGCTAGAAAAAAAAATCAATATCGATATGAGAAAAGCTATGTCCTGGCTTGGCCATTGACCATCTGAGTGATAGGGTCATATCACATCTCTTTCCTGACCCTCCTTCCCTAGCTTTGAGCCAGAGCAGAGTTTCTTGACTAGAGTGAGAATTTAAAAAGAAGAATTTCCTTTTATATGCTACTAGGTTTGTCACAAATTAATTTTGTTACCCAAATATGTACAAAAATAAATTAAGTGTGGACCCCTTACTTTTTTGTTTATATATTTTATTGAACACTTCTCCCTCTCTTAAATATGTTTTTAAAAATTATTTAAAAATATTTTTTATTTTCCAATTAAAGTTGGCATATAATCTTATATTAGTTTCAGGTGTACAACATGGTGATTAGATGTTTATGTAATTTACAAAGTGAGAATCCTGATAAATCTAGTACCCATCTGATACCATACATAACTATTATAATATTATTGACTATATTCATTATGCTATACTTTACATCCTTGTGTGTTATACTTTTTTATTGAACTGTAAACCTTAATCAAGCTTGGAAGTTAAATGCAGTAAAGCCAATGACATTCAAAGTAATATTAATTTACTGTGATGCATAAAAGTTTTGCTGAAACTAAATCTCTGCTCCCAGTGTGACTCTAGAAATAGCCTCTACGATGCATTCCGAATCTTTTGAAGTCAGCGTCTCTCTACTACCATGGGTGCCAGATTATTCATTCTTCTACTTATTTCTTCTATTTAAGCAAACACTTCAGTTATATATTATTGTGTATAAATGTGACACTAATTTGCTTTAAGTGGGGCAAAGGCATCTAGTCTGACAATTCTTTTCTTTCTAATTCTTTAAAAACCTGGTAACCATAATGTTGGAAACCCAACTAAAAATCTTGGCACTGAAATTGTATGCAGAACATTATGATATGGTGGTCATTCAGATGATCCTGAATATTCCTGTATTAATTTTAAAAATTATCATTGAAATGAAAACACAAAGTTATAAGGAAATTCTGGTGACATCTCATAAATGCTGAGGAGTATACCCGCCCTATTACTGAATCCAGAGAGAGTCTATGGTTACAAACTACAATCCTTATTTTTGCCAAGAGCTTCAGAGTCTGATCAGATCTTCCTTGATGGAAATGACAGGAGGTCAGGTTGACTGGTTTGACTGTCTCCCACTCCCTTTCTGAGAATGGTCTGTGAGTAGACCAATAGTCAGTGGACTGAGCAGGGAGAGGAAACAGTTTAGTTGGGCTGCATGCTGGAGAATGACCCTGGAGTAGCAGCCAGTTATTTGAAGAGGGGCTTGAAGAGCTCTCCTTCCCATGCTTGGTCTTCCTGTGTCACTGTGAGTTCCAGGACAATAACATATGGAAAGTGCTTTTGCCACCAACCACCCTGCAGCCAGCTTTCAATAACCATTGCACCCCCTCTCATACACTCTCTCCCTATTGCCTATTCTCCTCTCTCACTGGAAGGTTTTCTGGCACTGTAGAGAGTAGTTGGCTCCTCTGCCCATAGAGCATAACAATAAAAGAACTCATGACAGAGAGTCTTTCAAATGCTGCAAACAGTGGGAGCTAATCAATAACCTTGCAGCCCTTCAAAGGAATAACATTTGAGAAATATCTGCAACAATTGTATAGACCTTTACCAGTTTCTTCTCGATCTGCTGACACTTTTTTGAATGTTGAAAACGTCAACTTTGCAGAGAAGTCTTTTCTGCTTTCAAGAATTAAGAGAATTATTGTTCTGTCTGGTTATTTAGAAACTAAAATCCATATGTTTACCTGGGCCCACTTCTGAGGCCGTATTGATGATTAGATGAGAATTCAGGCAAGGGAGCTCATGTTTCATGTGTAAGCATGAGACGTCAAAATTGAGCACATATTTTCAAAACATCTTAAAAGAATTTAAATAATTACTTATGTCCAAGAAGAAAAGAACCATTGTACCTCATCCACTTGTGAGGGAACATTTATAACCAACTTTGAACATCCACTGCTGAATTTCTTCTAGACCAGAGGTTCTCAAGGGAGGCCCCCAGACCAGCAGCAGAAGTAGCACCTGGAAACTTGTCAAAAATGTGCATTTGGGGCCTCACCTCAGCCTCTCCAAGTGGGGAACCCTGGCGTGCGATTTAGCAATCCGTGTTTTAACAAGCCCTGCAGAGGATTCTGACACCAGTTTAATTGTGAGGACCACTTGTTCTCAGCCTTGGTTCACATTGGAACCATCTGGGGAGCTCTTAGATATTCCTGATACCCAGGTCTCACATCTGATTTAGTTCAGATTATCTGGGAGGTGGGACCTTATTATCAATGTTTTTAAAGTTCCTCTGGTGATCCAACACACAGAACAGGTGTGTTGTTCACATTTTTGCTACTCAAAGTGTGGTCTGGGGAAGCAGCAGCAGTGCCATGTGCAACCTGGCTGCAGACACAGAACTCAGGTCCTGCCCTGGACCTCTGAGTCAGAATCTGCATTTCGTAAGATCCCTAGTGATTTCTGCTCACAGTCAGTTTGAAAAAATGCCACTTTACAGAGCTGTTATTTGGGCATCATTTCATTTCTGAGGTGGTTTGTGCACTGTGTGTCTAGCTATGCTGTCTCTTGCTTGTGATTAGTGATGTGGATGTCTCATTTTTCTCTGACAGGACACAACAGACTATGTTGCATATGTAGCTAAGGACCCTGTTAATCGCAGAGGTAAGCAATGCTTAATGCTTGTAATCTCTTGCTAGAATACTGCCCGGCTTGATACTGGATGTTAACACAGATGTTCCTCTCATTTCAGCCCTCTTCATCAAAATGACCACATGCTATATCGCATTGTTTATGATAACTATGATATGCAGGCAGTTAAGTGTAGCAGCACACCTGGCTGGGTTAGGAGACACTTGACATCTGTGAGCTCCAAACGCACACCTGTATCCAGCCAGCTACTGTGTAGTGCACCTGCCCTGCTAAGTACAGCTCCCACTCATACACTGAAAGTGGCTTCATGACATATGGAAGACTACAAACCATCCAGTCTCCTGCCGGACTCCAGCTCCTTGTGTGTCCGCTGCTAACTAAGTCTCTCAGAGAAGCCTCACGCTGCCTTGCACAGCTCTGATGGCCAGTTTCTAAGTTTAGATGCTGTCCTCTTATGCCCTACACAGGCTGGGTGAGGGGGTCTGAGGCATTCACATACTTTCTATCCTCAAGGAAGCTTTAATCTTAAACTCTCCCTCCACACCCACCATCCCATTTCTTTTATCACTTACAAAACCAAAGCCCCACTCACTGGATGATAACAAGCCTGGGTGGGTGAGCTGACTAAGGATGTGCTATCCTTGAATACCAGGCAGCCACTGGTGCACTTCATAATTCTAATTCAGAACTAGTTGATGAAGATCACCAGTGGGGTTTATAAAAATACAAAACAGCACTTTACTCCATTACCCACTGGTTCCCCTGCTCCTCCCACCCTCCAGCCCAGGTACCAACTGTTAAGTTTTTCCAGTTTGCTTTGCAAAACTTTTTATCCATATACATACATGTATGTTTTCTACTTCTTTTAAAATTTCAATACAAATGAGATTTAGCATTCTATTTTGCTCTGCCCCCCAACCCTATATCTTAGATATATTTCTAAGACAGCCCAGAAAGATCAAGTTACCTGATCCATGGTGTAACTTTATTGAGATCTGTCCCTCAGGTCCATGGACACCCAGGGGCCTCATGTACAGACTCCTTTGTTCTTCCTCAGAATATTACATGGCTTGCCCTAAAGAGGCATTTGCAGAGAAACAATGTTAGATGGTCGATACATCAGTGGACCTCGCAAATTGCCAAACAGACTGGCTGTAAAAATTTGCTTTCCTATGTAAGTGTGCCCGGGTAATTTTCCATCTGGGCCTTTTCCAGCCCTGAGTTGGTAAGCAGTGACTTGGTAGGGCTGCCTTTCCTTTCCTGAAACTGGAGATAACAAGAACTTACAAAGAATGTCAGCTGTTATTCTCTTCCAGGTGACTGGAGCTCCTCTACAAGTCATCATTGGGATGTCTGGGGGAAGAGGGGTTCCGTAGTTGAGGTGTTCCAATACAGATAACATTCTATATTGTAATTTTCATATTGTCACTCCTGAACCAGAGGAAGAGTAAGTACAAAGTTTTGATGGTAAGATGAGAAGGGTGGTTTTGATGAATCCAGAACTGTCCCCATAACCCCTTGCTAACATGTTCTAGTCCATCATTGCTTGAACCTGAAGCAGCTTTTACTTAAGTAATATCTGCAGATAATCAGTATTTGTCTTGAGTGAGAGGGCAGACTATAACAGTTTAACGCAAGCTCAGTCTTCCAACTAGAGGCTGCTTTATTATTCTGCTATGGCCACAGTACTAATAGCACAAGCCAGGTGCCTTAAAATAACAGAATTCATTGTCTTACAGTTCTGGAGACTAGAAATCTGAGATCAAGGTGCTGGCAGGGCTGTACTCACTCTGAAGCCTATAAAGGAGAATGCCTTTTAGCTTCCAGCATTGGCATCCTGGGCTTGTGGATGCATCACTTCAATTCTCCGTCTTCACATGGCCTTGTGCCCTGAGTGTGCCTCTGTTTTCATGTGGATATCTTTTTATAAGGATACCAGTTATACTGGATTAGACCTACCGTGATCCAGCCTGACCTCATCTTAACTAGTTATATATGCAGCAAACTTATTTCCAAATAAGGTGACCTTCTGCAGTGGGATTTCAACATGTCTTTCTCTCAGGACACAATTCAATCCATGTGAGAGGCCAAACACTTTAACCATCCTACAGTCCCACCAAGTTCAGTAGTGGGAAGTGGCAGGCTGGCACCTCCCCAGGCAGAGTTCCCATTCCAAATTAACTTGAAGCAATCCTAGTTTTTTTTTCCTTTTTTTTATGTCTTTAATGGCTCCTAGGTCAGTGGTTTTCAAAATGAAATGTGCTTTAGAGTCACTTGGGTGAACTTTCAAAAAACTCAATGCTCAGGCCTCAGAGAGTACAGCCCAGGCAATTATTTTTAAAAGCTCCCCAGGTGACTCCCACATACAGCCAAGGGTGGGAAATAAAGCTCCAGACCCTGAAACAGTTTAACCCAGTGCAATCTGACTTAGGGCCATGGAAGTATATAGGCTGCTATCCTGTTTCAGAGCCACAAACCAGGAGTACTTTCTGCCCACAGTGTCTTTTGAAGTCATGAAAATCAGCATCCACTCCATATGTCTGGCTCCCTTTGGGATCTGCATGTGGTGCCAGCATGTGACAAATACTGACCTCTTCGCTGAGGCTGCTGCTTTGGGGGCACAGGGGCCTTTTGAGATACTTGGTGGGGGATGTTCACTCCTTCTTCCAATTATCTATCACTTATAACAGACTACTTAAAGTTTAGTGGCTTAATAACCACCATTCCATTATCTCTTTGAGTATAATTGTCAGGAATCCAGACGGGGCTCAATTGGCCAATTCTGCTGCTGTGGCATCAATGGGAGTCACTGGGTGGTCTTTGGCTGGTGGCTGGCCTAGTCTAGAGGGTCCAAGTTGACTTCTCTGACATGCCTCATATCTTGGTAGAGATGACTAGAAGCCTAAACCATCAGAGTCCCTCCAAGGGACCTCTATCAGGGCTGTAAGACCTTTTACATGGTGGCTCTAGGCTCCACAATACTAAAGTAGAAACTTCCAGCACTCCCAAAGACCAGGCACAGCTTCACTTCTGCCAGGCGCAGCTTCACTACTGTCAAAGCAGTCACAGCCTGCTTAGACTCAAGGGGAGGGCAAACAGACCTACCCTCTGATGGGAATTTGCAGCCTTCCTTATGAATCACAGCTCTGTTCCTCACACATCAACAGGCCTAGCCTCCTGGGAGGCAGTGTGTGGGGGGAGGGAGTCGTAGTTCTAGCCATGAACATGATCTTGGAGCACACTTTGCCTCCATCTCATATGTGTCCACCCCATGATTACCCTCTTCAAGTATGGAGCTGGAAGAAGGGCTTCCCTCAACTGCTTCTGTTCTTCTTTTTCCCTTGGGCCAGGAAGCAAGTTTAATTTAGTAAGAATGGCCTCTGCCACTGAGGAGTCAGATTAGCAAGAAATTCTGGGAGTGAATGTTCTTATTTGGGCTCTTAAATATCTAACTCCCTGTTTAAATGGCCCAGTCAATGTGCTGAAGTGATTCCTTGGCTATAAGCACAGATCCTCAAGACGGGCAGGTGTGAAGACACATCTGAGTCCCAGAAAGTCTATAGAGATGGGTCAAAGTCCCTCACTGTTATCATTTATCTTTTCCATTATGATTCCTGCCTATACATTTTTATGTGTGTTCTTGGTTTATCCAGAAGTATTTACAGTGCGAATCTATATTCAGCTGTCGAATCCACGATTTATATAGTTAATCTGTTAGAGGTCATTAAATTGTATGGAAACCTCCACCAACATCTTGAGAAGACAAGAGACACAAATGAGTGAAGTTTCATGTGATTGGTGTATTATAGTTGAAGGGCAGGGCCAATAGACCTGGAAGGTGACTATTGATATATGTAGAAATAAAACTCCCAACAAATCAGGCTTTGCTGGATCCTAACACACCATTTTATTTTTATGTTGGGACTTTCATTACTAACCAATGACTCTCATCCCCTGCAGTCATATACATATTGGTTCAAATTATACTGTTTGAGTCACAAAAAGTAGCTAAAATATGATGTTCTAATCAGACATATGGCTGCCTGCAGGAGGCATGTACTTTACATAATTTATAATTGCAATAACATTCCTGTTTAGGCACCCTCTGGAACTCCCTGACCTGGCTGTGGAAAGATATATCCTGTATGTAGGTGATGCTGACCTAACAGGAAGGAAGCCTGTGTGTTCAGCCTGAACAGCTTCTAACACATTCTGCTGTTCTTTCCCCCAAGATTTCTTTAATAATGGAAAACTTGAATGGGCTTGAGCAGGAAGCCTGCACGTGGAAATGCTGCCTTGCATGGCCACGCTTGCCTGCTCCGGGCTTCTCTACAAGCAGATGGTCTTTTTACCAGGGAATTAAGGTTCATCTGGCTTTGGACAGTTGTAGGCCCCACAAGGTGACTTTCTGGGAAAGGCCTTAAATAGTATGAACTTAGTGGTAGCAAACAACACAACACCTCTGGATGTCCCCTTTAAACAAAATCTTATCTGCATAATGTGTAGAAGCAATGGTTTATTTGTTTTTATAAATCAGAAGGTTAATTTCCATCTACTAACACTGGTAGGAGGTTAGTTTTCTTATGAGTGGACATTTAGGTGGCTTCATAGTTGGCAATTGTCAATCAATATTGTACAAACAAGCCAGTCCCTGGACTTTAAACTTCCTCTGCAGAAACTCCAAATGTTCCCATCTCTCAGGCCTCTGGCTAAAAGCTAGACTTCTGTACTTACCACCCTGCTGCACTTCTGCACTCAGAAGCCTCGCAGGCCCCTCACATTGGACAAGCTACATATAAGTCTCCTTCCTCCACAAAGCATCACCGTGCCCACAGGACCCAATGCGAGCTCAGTTCTGCTCTAATGTGTCTCATTTCCCATAATTTTCTTTCTGTTGTAGCTCCACGGACCTCTGGCTCTTCCTTGTACACCGAGCCAGCACCTGCATTGGGACTTTTGTCCTCACTAGGTCCATGCCTGTGACATTCTCGCACCAGACCTTTACATGGTTCACTCCCTGACTTCCTTCGGGCTTCTTCTCCAATGTCACCTTCTACTACTACAAAAAGACTGGTTTCCCTGAGAAGGAGTAGAATGGGGAATGACCCTATTTTGCTGCTTCCGTTTGTAATAGGCACATTTTAGGTTTTCAAACATCATTTTGAGTCTTGATTCTGTACATGTCTCTCATCTAGTCTCCTTTTTGCCCATGGATGACATCCTTTCCTTGTGGGAGTGAAGCAAATAATCCCAATGGTCGCTTTGGAGAGGGTATCCTCATTTCTCACATACACCAACCCACACAGGTCAGGTCAGGAAATGGTGGCTTTTGGCTAAAGACTGTTGCAGTACTCTCAGAGAAAATACCAGGCCCAGGGATGCCCAGGGTTAGTTTGGATTTGGAGTGAGTTTCTGGAACATATAGAATGCATTTTACAGAAGAAGCCTCACACCCAGACAACAGATGCTATTTTCTCAATCCATTGAGGATGAGCCAGGTAGCAAAGCCTGGAGTTGTTCTGCCACCTTAGGTATCTTAGACCGACAGGGCTCTCTGCCTTCACTGAGTGAGGGTGCTTCCACCCAGAGCTCTGCAGTTTCTGAGGAACTGACTTAAAGAGGACCATTTCCAGGCCTGTTGTTCTCTGGTGTGTGGGAGATGAGTGGGCCCTGTGGATCCATTGTACAGCCTCTTCTGCAGAAACTTGATTTTTCATTTACTATGTTTAAGGTTAAGGCACCACTTTTCTACTTAGAAGAAAAATAAGCTGCACTTTCTTGACCCATTCCCAGTCTTTATTCTGGTTCTCCAAAGTACTGGCCAGCCAACTCCCATGCTGATGCTGATGCTTTGGGTGGGGTGGGGGGATGTGTGGCTGGAAACAGAGGATAGGTGGGGGATCCAAGTGTCTTTTCCTCACACCAGCCTAGACTCTTACTTCTCTATCGGCTAGTAGACATCTCCATTCTTATCATTTAACCGACAACCTGCACTCTAACAATTGCTTCAGATGGGCTTGCTTTGTGCCTATTGGGATTAATACTAATAAAAATTAATATCGAAAATAAAATAATATCAGTAGTCAATAATAAAAATACAGCTAGGACATCACCTCCTTGAGATCAATCCCTTGGCCATACCTAGTGTATCCAGGGATTGCATTGTGGTCCAAAATGCAGTATAGTCCCATTTGTTCTTCCCCAGCAGTGCTTTTCTGTGTGTCCTCAGCGGTATGCTCCCCTTGAGCCTGGGGGAGATGTTGAGGATGCCAGGCCCAGCAGCTGCAGTCTGGGTGAGCTACACTGGCTTTGTGCACAGAGAAAGCAGCAAGTATTGTAATGAAAGAGTCACTAAACTGTGGAGGTAGTGATGCCTCTGTCCCTTCTTGAGCAGTTTTCCATCTTAAGGAGTCCTTTTTCAGGTGTGTACTGGATTCTCCTGCAGCCAGAGGACAATTCGGTGTCTCTGGTGCTTGAGAACAACTACCCTTGTAGAAATGCCTCCTCCTGAAAGACAATTACATCCTAACTGTTGACAAGAGAAAAGTGGAATGGGACACATGCATCTGTCATTTTCTCCAAGAAGAATGACTCTACCGCATTAGTAATAAGACCATGGCATGCTTGTCACAACTTGTGGAGGGGTTGGGGCTCCTCTGTGAGATGCCATGGATGGTCTCTTTCTTGTAGAGCAAATGCAGGGGCCTTCTCCATGCCTTCTTCCGCTTCACCCTCTTTTCTCTGAAGGTTTCACATAGATTATGATGCAGCTTGACTACAAGATGGTGTGTCCTTGAAGGATGGTGGGCACCTGGCATAAAGTGATTAATTTTTAATTTTGGAGAGAATAAGGCATTAAGAAATGCATCCGATGGTGACACTGTACAGCTGTGGGTCCCAGGGATTAAGTTACAGTTAAAACCTTCAGGACATATAATAAAGGGCACATGCAACACCTTGTTCCTGTCTTCTCACAGCTACTGATGGGGTTTCACTCTCAGGAAGGCTTATGTGGAGAACCCTGGGTAGGGTAGCTCTTGTATTTGTCTCTAATGGGCCTGTGTCTCTGGTTCCCATAGCTTGTCACATTTTGGAATGCTGTGACGGGCTGGCCCAGGACGTCATCAGCTCCATCGGACAAGCCTTTGAGCTCCGGTTTAAGCAATATTTGCAGTGTCCTTCCAAGATCTCCGCTTTCCACGACCGGTGAGTAGTACTACCATTTGCAATGGCCTTTCTGCATTTTATCACCTTTCCTCTTAAAAACACTTGAAAGGAGAAAACCATAAAACTGCCTCCCTGAGGTGTGCCCTGGACAGACACCATTAATCACAAGACTTCCTGGGCTCAGAAACACCTGGTAGTGCTGGGCCATGGCTCGGGAAACTGACAGATGGAAGACAACATATGGGCGATGCTCCGAAAGTTTAGAAAAACATTTTCTTGAAACTATAGTGACAGTAGCCAAGGTTACAAAAAAGCATTGTAATATGTTTTTATTCTGTTTCCTGTGCAACCATGTGATGTTTCCATATGTCACCTCCTTGAGTCTGCATCACCACAGGTTCTGCACATCTTATTGTCCTTGTCATCATTGTTGGCCAAAGTCCAGACTCAGAGGCTCCTCTATGAGGCCCTGTGCCTGAGATGACCAGTGTCAGTCCTGCTTTATTGGCCTTTGTGGCCTAGAGACTCAATGGCACCTGTGGCCCCGGTCAAGTTCTTAAACCAATCTGGGTCTCAGCAGCTTTCTCTAAAATAAGAATAACAGTGGCTTGAACTTGACAGTTACTGTTTTTTTGTTTTTGTTTTTTTTAAGTTGTAAGATTTATTATTTCTTAAATTTTTTTATCTTTGTTAAGTAGATGTTTCGGTTCAAAATTATAAACCGAATTGTTAATGACACCATATAAAGTATTGTACCAAAAATTCCTTTTTTTTTTTACACAGTTGACATTCAATGTTATATTAGTTTCAGATGCACAGGATAGTAGTTAGACATTTATACAACTTATGAAGTGATGCCAGTCTCAAACGGTAAGATCCATTTTTTATGGCCGAGTAATATTCCATTATATGTATGTACCACTTCTTTATCCAGTCATCTATTGATGGACATTTAGGTTGCCTCCATATCTTGGCTATTGTAAATAATGCTACAATGAACATAAGGATGCATATATCTTTTTAAATTAGTATTTTGGATTTCTTTGGATAAATACCCAGAAGTGGAATTGCTGGTTAATAAGGTAGTTCTATTTTTAATTTTTTGAAAACTCTCTGTACTGTTTTCCTAAGTGGCTGCACCAATTTGCAATCACAGTGCACGAGGGTTCCCTTTTCTCCACATCCTTGCCAACACTTGTTTATTGATGTATTGATACCATTGTTACAAGTGTGAGGTACTATCTCATTGTGATTTTAATTTGCATTTCATATGTTTACTGGTCATCTATGTGACCAATTTGTATGACCATCTCTTTGGATAAGTGTCTATTCAGCTCCTCTGTCCATTTTTTAATTGAATTGTTTGTTGTTTGGTGTTAAGTTGTATGAGTTTCTTATAAATTTGAATATTAACCCCTTATTGTGTGTATCATTGGCAAATACCTTCTCCCATTCAGTAGATTATCTTTTCGGTTTGTTGATAGCTTACTTTGCTGTGAAAAAATTTCTTAGTTTGACATAGTTTTATTTGTTTATTTAATTTATTTTTTTGTTTCCCTTGCTCAAAGAGATATATCCCCTCCAAAAATATTATCAAGTGCAATGTCAGAGAGTTTACTGCCTGTATTTTCTTCTAGGAGTTTTATAGTTTTAGGTCTTACATTTAAGTCTTTAATCTATTTTGAGTTTATTCTTATATATGATATGAGAAGTTAGTCTAGTTTTATTTTTTTGCACATATATGTCCAGTTTTCCCAACACCATTTATTGAAGAAACTGTCTTTACCCTAATGTATAAAAATGCAATTGATTTCTGTTTATTAATTTCATATCCTGCTCCATAACTGAATTCCTTTATCAGTTCTAGTATTTTTTTTGTGTGTGTAATCTTTAGGGCTTTCTCTATATAGTATCACATCATCTGCGAATAATGACAGTTTTACTTCTTCCTTTTCCATTTGGATGCCTTTTATTTCTTCTTTCTTGTCTGATTGCCATGGCTAGGATGCCCAATACTATGTTGAATAGAAGTGGTGAAAGTGGACATCCTTGTTTTATTCTTGATCCTAAGGAAAACACTTTGAGCTTTTCCCCATTGAGTATGATGTTAGTAGGGGGTTTGTCATATATGACTTTTATTATGTTGAGATATGCTCCCTCTATGCCCACTTTACTGAGAGTTTTTATCATATGCTTTTTCTACATTTATTGGTATGATCAGATGATTTTTATTCTTCCTTTTGTTTATGTGGTATATCACGTAATTGATTTGTGGATATTGAACCAACCTTGCATCCTAGAAATAAATCCCAATTGATCATGAAGTATAATCTTTTCAATGTACTGCTGAATTTGCTTTGCTAATATTTTGTTGAAGATTTTTATGTTTATGTTCATCAGAGATACTGGCCTATAATTTTCTGATTTTGTGATGTCTTCCTCTGGTTTTAAAATCAGGTCAATGGTGACCTTGTAAAATAAGCTTAAGAGCATTTCCTCCTCTTCAATTTTTCTGGAATAATTGAGTAGGATAGGTGTTAACTCTTCTTTGACTGTTTGCTAAAATTCACCTGTGAATTCATTTGGTCTAGGAATTTTGTTTGTTGGAAGTGTTTTGATTACTGATTCAATTTTATTAGTAATAATCAGATTTTCTGTTGTTCTTGATTCAATCTTGGAAGATTATGTGTTTCTAGGAATTCATCCATTTCTTCCAGATTGTCCAATTTGTTGTCATATAATTGTTTGTACTATTTTCTTATAATCCTTTGTATTTCTGTGGTGTCAGTTGTCACTTCTCTATCATTTCTGATTTTATCTATTTGGATCCTCTTCCTCCTTTTGTTGATGAGTCTGGTTAAAAGTTAATCAATTTTATTTATCTTTTCAAAGAACCAGCTCAGGTTTCATTGATCTGTTGTTCTGCTTTTTTTTTCTTTTTTAGATTCTATTTCATTTATTTCCACTCTGATTTCTATTACTTCCTTCCTTCTACTTACTTTGGGCTTTGTTCTTTTTCTAGTACCTTTAGGTGTAAGGTTAGATTGTTTATTTGAGATTTTTCTTGTTTCTTGAAATAGGCCTGTATTTCTATGAATTTCTCTCTTAGAACTCTTTTAGCTGTGTCCCCTAGGTTGGGGATTGTTGTGTTTTTATTTTCGTTTGTCTCAAGGTATCTTTTGATTTCTTCTTTGATCTCTCATTGTTAACACATTCATTGTTTAGTAGCATGTTACTTAGCTTCCATGTGTTCATACAGTTTTCAGATATTTTTCTTGTAATTGATGTCTAGATTATACATGTGGTCAAAGAAGATGCTTGATATGATTTCAGTCTTCAGATTTCAGATAATATGTGGTCTATCTTCCGTGCGCACTTGAAAAGAATGTATATTCTGCTGCTTTAGAAGCTCTAAAGGTATCAATTAAATCCATTTGGTTTAATGTGTCATTTAAGGCCACTGTTTCCTTTTTGATTTTCTGTTTGGAAGACTTACCCATGAATGTCAATGAGATGTTTAATTTTCCTGTAGTTACTGTATTATTGTTGATCTCTCCCTATGTTCATCAATATTTGCTTCATATATTTAGGTGCTCCTACGTTGGGTGCATAAATGTTTGTAAGAGTTATATACTCTTGTTGGATTGATCATTTATCATTGTGCAATGATCTTCTTTGTCTCTCATTATAGTCTTCGTTTTAAAGTCTATTTTGTCTAAGTCTAGTGCTATCTCAACTTTTATTCATTTCTACTTGCATAAATTATCTTTTTCTAGCCCTTTACTTTCAATCCATGTGTGTCTTTTGATCTTAAGTGAGTCTCTAATAGACACCATGTATATGAATCTTGTTTTCTTTTCCATTCAGCTACCTTATGACTTCTGATGGGAGCATTTAACCCATTTACATTTAAAATGATTATTCATAAATATGTAGTTATTCCTATTTTATTATTTATATTTGTGTTCTTTTCTCTTTTTTTCTTCTTAAAGAAGTCTCTTTAACATTTCTTATAAAACTTATTTGGTAGTTACGAACTTCTTTAGCTTTTTCTTGTCTGGGAAGCTCTTTATTTCTCCTTCAATTTTAAATGATAACCTTGCTGAATAGAGTGTTCTTGGTTGTAGTAGTCTTCCTTGCTTTTCATCACTTTGAATATTTTGTGCCAATTCCTTCTGGCCTGCAAAGTTTCTCTTGAGGAGTCAGCTGACAGGCTTATGGGAGTTCTCTTATAGGTAACTAACTGCTTTTCTCTTGCTGCTTTTAAGATTCTTTCTTTGTCTTTAACCTTTGGCATTTTATTAATGATATGTCTTGGGTTCATCCTGTTTGGGACTCTGCACTTTCTGGGCTTGTGTATTTCTTTCCTTCACCAGATTAGGGAAGTTTCCCATCATTTTTTCTTCTAATGGTTTCTCAATTCCTTGCTCTCTCTTTTCTCCTTCTGGTACTCCTATGATGTGAATGTTGTTATGCTTGATGTTGTCACAGAGGCCCCTTTACTATCCTCATTTTTTTTTTTCTTTTTTGGATTCTCTTTTCTTACTATTCCAATTGGGTGTTTTCTGTTACCTTATGCTCCAAATCGCGGATTCAATCCTCTGCTTCATCTAATCCGCTGTTGATTCTTTCTAGTATATTCTTAATTCAATTATCATAGTCTTCAAATCTGCCTGGTTCTTTTTTTATGGTTTCTATATCTTCTTTTATGCTTACTATCTCTTTGTTGACATTCTTACTGAATTCATCTACTCTTACCCTAATCTCATTGAGCATCCTTATAACCAGTGTTTTGAACTCTGTATTTGGTAGATTGCTTGCCTCTATTTCATTTAGTTGTTTTTTGGGAGTTTTTTCCTTTTCTTTCATTTGGGACATGTTTGTTTGTGTTCTCACATTGGCGCCTCTCTGTGTATTAAGTAGATCTGCTATGTCTCCTATACTTGGCTGGGTGGCCTTATGTAGTAGGTGTCCTGTGGGGCCCAGTGGTGCAATCTCTCTGATCACTAGAGCTGAGATGATCCAGGGGTGTCCCTTGTGTGGGTTGTGTGTGCCTTCCTATTGTAGTTAAGCCTTGATTGCAGTTGGCATGTCAGTGGGTTGGACTGACCCTCAAGCTGACTGTTTGTAAGAATTGGCCATGACTGCAGTGTACAAGCTGCCATGTGGAAACTAATCCCATGGAATGGGATTCATCCCAACAAGGCTCTTGTGTCTGCTGAGACCACCCTTTAGTTATGCCACTTGTAGAGCTAATTGGGTGGTGTTCTTTTGTGGTCTGAAGTCAGCCACTGGGTGTATTTGTTCTGGGGCTCTTGGGAAGGGCTCCCAAGCAGGCCAAAATCAGCTTTTGGCTATGATCAGCCCAGCACCATCTGGTAGGAGCTGCAAAACAATCTGCAGTTGGTAGCTGCCTATATTGGGCCTGGAGGCACAAGTGAGAGGCCGTGCTATGAATTGAGGCCAGCTGCCATCAATACTGAGTTTGCAGCTGCTCAGTGAAAGGCACAGGGCACACCAAGGCCAGCTTCTACCTGTAGTCTGCCCATAAGTCACAGCCACTCAAATATCCTTGAGCAGTATGTGGGTTGAGTGTGGTGGGGTCTCAGGGAATCACCAGGTTGGGGCAAGTGGTATTCATCAGGTTAAGATTGATTTAGTGTCAGTGTCAAGTCTGGGGCCACTTAGCAAGAGGCACAGGTATATTGAGGCTAGCTGCTGCCTAACCAGGGCCTGAAAACCTTTGAGAGTTTTTAAGAGACATTGTGAGTCAAGGCCTGCTGCATGCTGCTGAACAAGCCTTTGACAGTGCGTGAGTTGGTTGGGGTGGTGTTACAGGGAGTCAACAGGATGGGGTGAATGGTGTTCACCAGGTTAATTCAGATTCAGATTTGGTGCCTACCTGCATCTGTGGGCCCTGTGGGAGGAGGGCTCAACACAGGGACAATGGCGGCTGTCCCTCTAGCCCTTGCCCTGAAGCCACACAATTCAGTTTCTCTCTGTCTCTGGTGCCTTTTGAGCTGCTGTCTCTTCACTGCGCTTAGGGTAAGTGCCTGTGAATGAGCCAGTCTGTGTGCAAGCCCTTTAAGAGGATGCCTGGTATCCAGCAGCCCTTTGTCTCACCTGGATGGACTGA